GGGGGGGGGGGGATTGGAGAATGATGATGTGCGTCTTAGTGCTGAAGAATGTAAAAGAAGCTTGTTGGGGAAAATTATTGGTGACAGGAAGGCAAACAAGTTTGGTATCAAGAGGACGATGGCATTTGTATGGCAAACGGCTCAACCAATTGAAGTTAGGAATTGAGACCGAACTTATTTCAATTCATTTTTGGCTGTCAGGAGGACAAGGATAGAGTTATGGCGGGTGTCAACTAGGTTTTTGAAAACCAATACCTAGTTTTACAGGAGTGAAGGGAAGATATAACGGAACATGATGTGGGTTTCAAGGAGATTTCATTATGGATGCAGGTTCAGAAACTTCCTCTCCATTGGCTCAGTACTGAAGTAGGATTAAAAAATGGAAAGTTGTTCCTCAAGGTGAAAAACGTGATGGTGATTAAAGAGGGAGAGGTTAAAGACAGTTTTCTCCGACTTCTGATCTCTCATGACATCTCTTAGCCTTTTCCTAGGTGTACAGTCATAAAATTGGGGAATCAGCAGCTAATAGTAGCTTTTCAGTATGAGAAGCTCGTGAGTCTATGTTTCTACTGCGGTCTGGTAGGGCACCTAGAGAGGGACTGTAAGACAAGGCTGAAATATATTGAAGACGACAAGGTGATGGAGGAACAATTTGGGGACTGGATGAAAGCAGTGGACCTTGGGAGAAACTTTGGATCCCTTCCTACTTCAAACCCTTTTCATAATTTTAATAGCCAGAGTAATTTCACTACTCTAGGGGAACCATCAGCTTCTGCAAAATTATTTGAAGAAGAAACTCAAGGAGTAAGGAGTGCATTAAATATGGCTCTGATTCTAGTGGCAAGAGCAAGCTCAGAGGAACAGGGTGATGAAAACCAGAGCAATAGCCATACTGCAAGTCAAAAGAAAGAGACTTTGGTGGTGGTCGATAGAGGCAGTGCCAATAAATCAACTAAAGAACCAGTTGAGGAAAGAATGGAGATAGGCCAAGCTGGGACTACAAAACAAGGCTGTGGGAGAAGTCCATTGGGCCAAAGGGCGAGACAAACCACTGCAATGTGGAAAAGAAAAGTGATGGAGACG